TGTTATTTGAGTACCCTGCTGTCTAAAGGATCTACCAGTGTTCACTCTGTATCTAGCATTACATGTGAGTGTGGGAAGAGAAAAACTGTCACAGCTTTGTGCGCACTCATGCTCACACGAAGGCACGCACGATGTAAACCAGTCTGTTACCAGCAGAAGCCCAGTTAAGTACACCTCTTTCTAATTAATGTTGGCCTGTACTGTTTGTGTGTGTGTGTGTGTGTGTTTCATAAGATACTGCCAGGAAAGGCACAGGCTGAATAGAGGAAAGCACACAAGCGTCCACCTGAAAATCTGTAGCCATGCTTCTGTTCCCAAAAAATAATAAAACTTCTGTCCTATTGTTCTGACTGTTGGACACTCTCCCAAATATTGAAGCCATCACCACTTGAGTGGATTATTGCTTCATCCTTTTAATAGCTGCCACACAATAATAGTACCAAACACAGTAAATAACTACAGGACAGGACATCAGAGCATTCCTCTTAAGTTTGCCTCTTGATTATTAAGACTGTACATTATCACACTGGCAGAGAAGCTTCTGAATTTAGACACGTGAGAGGAGAAACAAAAGTAAATCCTTACATCAGTTAAGCTGTGAGTCACTGTGCCTTTACTATTATAGGTCCTCTTGTCGATCCACTTAGTAGATTCCTATCTGCAGACTCCTTTGAGCGAAGTGCACTATAGTGGCTTTCTGATGGGTTATTTCATCTGCCCTTTTCACTTTAACACTGCGGACCAGCTTCTCTCAGGCTTTCATTGTAAACAACAGCCATAGGAATGCATAATGTATTTACTTGGTGGAGTAAATGGGCATTTGCTGCAGAGACTTGGTTCAGCAGAAAGGCGTTTAAGTCCCAGAACCACTGGCTCTATGATTCTCCATGTTCTCTTTCTCTCTGCCTCTCTTCTCCCCCTCTATCTTTCCATCTTTCTCTGTTGTTACATCAGTGCCTGTTTTTTTGGTTCCTCACAAGCCACGAGAAAGATCTTTCTATCTGCCTGTCCATTGGGAACAGTTTAGTGCACTGAATGGTGCATTGGTTGATCTGATGTGAGATATTTCCTAAAGAGTCATTATGAGCTCCTTTCCGTTTCCCACCACTGTTTTTAATTATATTCCAAGATACAGTATGGTTGAGTTATTTGCTAAAAACTTTACATCACATTAAAAAAGCACTTTAACAATCCCGAGATGGCTCCCTGGGGAAAGACACGCACTGTCTAGACACTATCAAAATGACAGATTGGTCTATGTTTTTTGGACAGTATCTTTGGTGATGCCTGCTTTGGCAGCTATAAACAGAAGAAGCTGCCAGTAAAATGTATATCTCAAACAGATAAGACCCACTATTTACAACCTAAATATCTGCAGTATTTTGAGATGTACTGTACAGTAATCATGACCATTCAATGCGCTGTAAAAACTTTACTTGGTGTAGAGTGTCTAAATCTAAATGATCACTTAACTACTATAGTTTACAAATCACCTCAAACATTTTCTCATTAAAAGCTTTGGGGGGGTCCAAAAAAAAGCAGTCATTACGACACGACTACACCATTTTAGCACAAATTCTCCCTTAGAGGGGGAAAAGCCTGTAATACCATGTATTTGTTTATTATTATTATTATTTTGACACATGTCTTCTTGAGTTTTGCAGCCTTTTGGGAAGTTTGTTTCAGTGCTGCAGTGCAGAGGCTAATCGATTTCTTGCCAGAAGTTCATGCTCCCAGGTTACAGATGGTACTTTCAGCAAACATTCTCCACAACCATTTTTCAGATTGATCCATTCCTGATTTGCAGTGCACAGAGCTAGAGGGGCTGAGGAAGTGTTTTTGAAGGAAATATCTCGTCTCTAGTATGGCACACTGACATTTGCAGGCTTATTAAATTATAAATAAAATTAGGTTTTGATCAATTTTTTTCTAATATATTTTATAATGTTAGATTTGATGATTTGAGCAGTTCCTATCTTTATTATTACTCTTCTTCCATTGTGTCACTAACTGAGTTTCCTCCCTTTGTACTCTCACCACGAGGCACACACACTTCTGCAGACCTCTTCATTTCAGAAGGATTACCAGCCACTATACTGATGGAGATTTTCAAGAGGGGAAACTCAATTACTTCCTGCTCCTATAAACACCTGAGCACACTGAAGAGGGTGGCGGGGCTGCCACCCACTTGCAGACTTTCTTGGTGCAGAAAAGCACATGGAATCATCAGAAGGGGGGAGGAGGCCTGAGGGACAGTTATCACGATTGCTTGTCGTCTGTCTCCTAGTGTCCCTTTCACCCACTAACTAGTCTGGGAATCCTAACCAGTTCAGAGTGAAAATCATCCTGAATGTTCCCAGTAAGAGCTACTCACTTTTAAAACATTTATCCTATCTGCTCCCACTGTGGGCACAGCATGTCTGCAATTAGAGTAGCCTGAATACGACAGCACGACAAAGTATTGGAGCTCAAAACCAAGCTGCTGCGACAACATTACACAACACTTCTGTGGCCTGATGTTTAATTACATTGGTTCTTTGCATAAGGAAAACTGGGTTGCTTAAAGAAAATGTCAGGCTGAATAACTGGGTAAATAATGCAAGCCTATTCAGCATAAAAGCATTAAATGTGATTCGACTGCATAGCATAGTATGATTTGCATGGTAATATGATTTATATTACAGAAGAATGTGTAATTTGTAAACCCACATATTGTAGCTGAAATTTTGCTGCAAATGAGTAAAAGGATTTGGAGATGTCTTCCTGCCGAGTTTTTTGTCTCCGGATACCCAGTGGGTTTACTTGGTAGTGATGTAATGCAAGAGAATGGCTGACCCTACATAAAATGTGAGGGAATTCACAGAAATTTATGAGACTTGGATTTGTTATTTCTGCCATTCTTTGCTCTCCTAATGAAAATGTCACAGAAATATCAAACTTCTTTATTACCGCAGCCAAATAGCCAAAGTCCTCCCAGCAAGCCACAGAAGCAAAGATCAAGTCCTGTGTGTGGTTACGTGTGTGTACGTGTGTGTACATGTGAGTACGTGTGTGTGTACGTGCGCATTAGAATAGGTCCTCTCCCACCATCACAAGACACCAGAAGCTCCAAGAGGACTGTGCTCTCCGTCACCATGGAGACAAGTGCGCCCAGCGCCTAACAATGCTATTTTTGGAGCAGTGCAAAGAGCTTCACTCTATCTCCTCTTCCTATTCAGCAGTACTCTTTAATTTTTCTCTTCAAAAACTATTTTGGTTCCATCGCCGGTCATTTGTTTTGATAGTTGAAGTGAATCCCTGCAGCCATGATGGTTGGGGTTCTCATTATGTGATGTGAAGTATAATGTTGTCTGCGAGTATGTGATATTGTCATCTGTTTTGCTCTGTGTCTTATTTAACTGTGCGATCATTTTATTTAGGAAACTAAATCTACACAAATTTAAAAGTATCGTTCTGCTTAGACAACGTCCCACTTGCACAGATCTGCTATTTATATATAAGATACACAGCCATCTCCACCAAGGGGCTAATTGAAAACAGAGGTACTAATTCAGAAGCTTAGCGTTGGGATTACACACCAAGCATTACATTAAAGCTGTTTCAGTGTGCCATGCAGATACTGTATTTCCCTCAGCAACATTGTTTTTGGAATGAGGTCAAAGTTGATTTCATGTACCTCACTAACAACTGCGCTGGTCTAATCTTTAAAAGCATGTGCTGTTAACGGCACTGTCTAATTATAAGTCGGTTAATATCTGCTGCATTGATACCGGACGAGTGGTTGTGCTGTTAATCTTCAGGGATCTCCTCTGTAATCAGTCTATTGGGAAAACAAAGTGCCGGTGGGTGTAGTGGCAGTGATAGGAATGCATCAATACATCATATAAGACCAAGCTGGCTCTTTCACCACAGAGGGAGCGTGTAGGAGAGTAAAAAGCTGATCATCATCTCTGCTCAGGTTACTACAGAATCCCTTTGATTAGATCATATTAAACAGCTTCTCAGTACTACAACGCTTCAAGGATTCAGTGAACGTTATCAAACCCAATACAAATAAATCTTAAAATCAATCAGTGGTTAATAATTTGATGTTAATGTTGAAATTGTGTTGATACTCCATTAGAAGGTTTGAACTAACAACAGAAATCTCAGTTTACTAAAATCGCACATTTGCACCTACTGTTGTTTGCAGTCGTTTGGTGATGGGGGAATGTGTGTTATCTCAAAGTTTACTAAATCCTGTCTTAGACTACATTTATTTTAAATAACCATGAAAAGCAGTATTTATTTATAATTTTAAATCATTTAACCTAATAATTAAATGTATAAAAAGCTCAAGGATTTAACACCTGAACACAGACTGGTGAGCCCACCCACTATGCCTTGTTAGTTGTTTTGCTGTTTGCAAACTTGCACTTTTAGTCACTTTTGTTTAAGTAAAATTCAGCCACACCGACAATTTCTTTGACAAGGTGTCAGTTAATTTGTAAACAACCCCTGAGTAAATGCTCAGTGAATATTTAGTAGGTAAAAGCTTTTAAACCAATGAGAATATGTTTGGACAACAGCACATTGACTAACGATTCCAGTTAAACAGGACACACCAGCCCTAAAAGCTGATGCACACCTATCAGTGTCGTACATTGGGTTCTTTATAGCCAGATGAAAAGTTCCTCCTGATCAACAGTATAACATGGCAGTGAATTTATACAAAAAAAATTTGATTAGATTTCACTTACTGTAACCATTGTCTTCCTCCTTCGTTCCATCAATGGTTCCATCTGCCTGCAGCTGCAGGTGGAAACCTTGTCGACTGTACAGCTTCGTCACAATCCCCTTCAGCTGGGGCTCTGTAGAGGCAGAGAGGAAACAGAGAGGGAAGATATACAAGAATGAAACCACATTAAGTTGATAACATCAATGCAGTAACATGATGTTACACTTTCTAAAGGGACATTTGGAAGCTTCAGTTTCAATGAAATGCTTGTCGCCATTTCCTGGAGCCACAAACTCCAATTTAGTCAAAGGGTAGCAGGGCTGAGTAGAGCAGGGGTGGGAAAACAACAACTATTAGACTGACTGATAGGCTGAGACATCTGTCAATCAAGCTATGACCCAAGATCATTACAGAGAAATGAAATTCAGCTATCGAGAAATGGCCTTGTGGAGAAGAATTATATATTTTTTAATGGAATCCTGTATTTTTAGATATAGTTTTAAAGGTAGAATCTTGCAGCCATTTTGGGAGTTTAAATTAAAGATACTTTTCACATTAGCTCGACCACTGACAGTTATGTTGTTTGCTGCTTTATGAAACAAGAAGACTGATAAAGTCTCTGGTTTTGCTGATATCATATTCAGACTCCTGCTGATCTGCAGCCACTTTCCACGCACCATTTCATTCTCATTCTCCATGGGATATATAAACAAATACAGTAAGTCAACAGATGAATTGAAACGATTTAAATAACATTTATTTATATATTTTAATGAAACTGCAAGATCAGACACTGCAGTGAATATTCATTGAAACTGATATAATGTGAAGAACTGGAACAGAGGTGACTAAAAAAATTCTGTCCCTGTGGCTAGACAACAAATATGATCACAGATGAACGAGAGCAAATTATATCAAGTCTAAAATGGCTTAGTTTTTCAATAAAATAAGCTACACTATTAGGGCATTACATCAATCATCTGTAGTCTAAAAGACAATAATTTTAAGTGGCAGAGCATTTACTTCTGAAGCGGCCGGGCAGCCTGTCTGTGTTACATCAGTGTAATGTCTGATAAGAGCTAAGTGCTCTCCATTCCCTGGTTACTGTCCCTGGTGGAGTGTTCTTTACTGTGGTTAACCACACCTTTCATCTATGCTTTCATCTCATTTACCCTTCAGCTCTGCCTTTCCTATCCTTACTAACTTTACTTCTACTATAAAGACAGTTTATTCAGTCGCATATTGTGTACTCAAGTCATCTTAATTTATTATGGTTATGACACTGAGGTGAGAAAAACTGTTTATTGAGTGGCGCATTAAGAAATGTAGACCTATACGTCAGCATGTACTGTGAACACAAAAGAGCATGTGATTGCGACATAAGCAGATAAAGGTACATACACCAGTCCACACTATTTTGAAAGATGCCAGTTTTTGTTTTTGGTGAGGCCCCATCTGTAAGTAACACTCAGACAACGCCTTCTACTTGGCGCTTATTGCTTCCTCCACAGGATAGAAATGGAAATTGGAAGTGAGAGTGGTGCAAAAACTGTTCTACTGTTGCATAAACAGACACCCTAACCTCCAGGTACTGTTATAAAACAACTTGGACGTGAATAAAGTGGCTGGAGCCGAGTAAAGTTTGGGAGAAAACGTACACAGCTGAATTTCGTGCCGTGCAAGGCTGTCGTCATGTCTATACACATCGTGAAACTGAGAAAAAAGGTGGCCTGTGGGCCTGAGGAAGATGTGATTAGATCAAATATGCAACTGTGGCGACTTCTGCACTGGATTTGTTAGGGAGTGGCTGCTACAGAGACACACTCCTGTCACTGCAAAAATAAGAGAGCTTTGAAGCCATGCTGGACCTGGGCTCATATGTGGAGGGATACATTAACTCTTCCATTTTTAGTGTTATAAGTACAAGTTATCATTTTACAAATAGTTTTGAAATCTAGTAACTTTATTGCATTTAGATAAATTATAATAATGTCAGAAACAAAAAACTTGTAGTCTGCTTGACATTGTGAATAAAAGTTTTGACCACATCAAGTTGGCTCTCTCACTCTCTCTTAAATATTACAAAGAAACTATATTCAATGTATAGTCTACTCAAATGAGCTGTACATTGGTCTTGGGAAGCTCATGAATCCATGTTGGAGACTGATGATACAAGAATCTTGAGTGAATATTTGAACAGTGAGAAATGAGTGGTGATGGTGAAGTTTTCACAAGCTATAATAATCACTGTTGTGTATAGTCCTCTTGTTCTGATTAACAAGACCTTGAAGTTAATATTTGCATCAGCACAGCCTGAGGTGCCAAATGTGACTTCTCTGTGGACAAAATTCACAAGGGAGCCGCCTTATTCTCCCACCAAGTTAGGCAGCGTCGATAACCTTATGAAATGTCATAGACATAAATTACATTTTGTTTAGATGTATTTTGGATTTTGTAGTAACACTCTGTTAAAGACAGTCAGTTATGGTGAGGACGTTAGCCTGATGAAACAGCACCACAGACCTGGCCGTCTCCTTCGCCTCTTCTTGGAACCAAAGAGTTTGACTCTGGAGAAAACGTTCAGTCGACTGGGTTTTTCACAGCTCCCTTTGGCTTTACTGGGGCTGCTCACGCAGCGGCAGGCATTAGACTTCTCCCGCTCCCTCGCCTGCCTCTTCTGCCGTATGAGGGAGCTGGCAATCGCTGCAGCCATGGCCAGTTTGGCAGCGCTTTGGAAAAAACAACTTGCGTGGAAATGATCACTCCCTTTGAATCCAGAAAACTGGATTCTGAAGGGGAAACGTCCAGGCGCGGTGGTAACAAGCTGAGGCAACTACAGCGATGCGTTAAATAACAAAGCAGAAAATGAAGAATTCACAGTCAAATAGTCCCAGCAGTGCGGTGAGGCCTGTTAGATGAGGTCCAGGCGAATCATTTTTTACTCAGGAATTGTCCGTTGCATGTCCGAGAACAGAAGTGAAACTTAAAAAATGAAAACCACACATTCCACCGTGATGCTGCGCAAAGACTTTCACCACAACGCGCCGCATGTTCCCCTAACTGTACCATTTCCTCAGCAGCACAACAAATACGCACAAACCCAGTCTCTGCTAGTAGCTTTGCATCATGACTCTAAACTACATGTGCAGATGGTGTTCGAGGAGGCAGGCAGTCGTGAGTTAAGCTCAGTGCGCAGCCATAGGATGGAAACACCTGTTTGCAGCAGCCGGGAGAGTGTTTGCAGTGCTCTCGTTTCTGGGTTCCCCCAGTCCCTCACTGCTGCTGCCAGAGAAGAGACCTCCACCGCGTTTGAGAAAGACAACGAGGATGTGAGCGACTCACTGAGGAACCTCCATCTGTTCCTCTGTCTTCTGCTGAAGAGAGGCAGCGCAAGGTAAAAGCAGGAGGCGCCTCGTCGTGGATGCAGTATCCGAGCGCAGCGCAAAGCACAGACTCAGCTGTTCTGCTGAGAGCATCCCACCTCCAACCTGGGGAATGAGCCGTGGAGGAGGAGGAGGAGGAAGAGGAGGACAGGGATCCTCACTAGTGACACACAAACCCAGTCCATGTGCACAGTTACATTATCTCCATATAGGCTGTGATGTGGGATAATACATTTCAAGAACAAATGGGCGTAGTTGGAGAGGCAAAGAGGGAGAGACGCGAGAAAAGATGAGAGAAACCCACAAATTCTGGATATTAGATTAGATTAGACTGGACTTGAAGTCGCAATAAAGAAAGCTAAGCACTACTGATGCAGCTCAGCCGCTTTAACTGTAACCATCTCTATTTTTCACACTTAAATTGAACATCATACCTTTTGAACTAAATATCCAATATAGCTAATAATTAAAATATTTGGTTATTTATTAACTATTTTTCATCGACCTCTATAACAAGCGAGTATGAGGGATATACTAGCAGGTGTGTTACAGATTATTGTAGTGGAGGCCGGTGGATTTTTCTTGTAGCTAAAGAAAAATACAGTATATGAATGTCTGTTTTTTCCACCTTTAAGATGTCTTTATCCTCATGTAACTTTTAAACCAGGCTCCTATTGGTAAATTATGTATTAACATCAGCTCAACGCTGTTTTACTGACTATAACTCGCAGAGCAAAGTTTATGTTCTGGCTCTCTGTCCTCTCTCACCCTCTCTGACTGCTCCATCGCTCCTCAGCTCTTCCTCCGTCCTGGACTGACCACAGTGTACAGCCTAACCAATAGTGCCATCTACAGTCCCCACACAAAACTGTCCTAGACATTAAGTTCATTTCCTCTCATTTACACTTGAGCACTGTCAAACATAAGATTGTGATATTTTTTATTGTAGAACACACAGACCTGGACAGAGTATTTATTCAGCAAGAAGCAGGATGTGAGCTGATAATATCTCACACTGCAATCATTATGAAGATTTGTTAGTTGTATGAAAAACATTATTATTGTTTTTGTTTGTGGGTCATTTTTGTTTTGTGGTTTTTCTTTTATTTACTTATTTACTTTTGTCTGCTTATTTCCTGATATAGCTTTTTATCATGCATATATATTTTTGAATTATTATGATAAGATTGTGGATGGTAGGTGTGGCACAGACAAAGCTGAAAGCAAATGTGCAGTAAATATCGTAAAAAGAGTAAAAATGTTTGAATGAAAACTCTGACAAAGGTGCTCACATAGTTCCTCTAAGGCCACCTACACTTCAGCACCACGGAGAGCTCCACGCCAGTTTACTATACCAGAAACACTGAAGTCAACATTTCTTAACTTAATACAAAATAAACTACCAGCACATCTAAAAACAATAAACACAATAATTCAATAGTGAGGAAGCTTGTGCGAGCAACACTTAAAACCTAGTTTGAAGCCAAACAACAACACAACAAATGCAAAGTGTAAATATAAATAGAACAGCAGCCATACCTGAAACAGTTTTTCTCAAGGGGAAAGTCATGGTTCGCTTCGGGTGATGGCTAAAAGCAGTGACTCGCAGTGATATAGTTGCAGTCCCCGGCTGTAGTGAAGTGTGGGCGAGTATAGTCTACTTGCAAATCAGCAAAGTTCAGACAACTGTTAGAGGCGCGGTGGAAAAGAGAAAGCATCGAGGCGTGGCCATCAACAGGAAGATCATTATAGGACATTAGCGACATGCCATTATGACTCCGAAAAAAGCTCATTAAAGATTCATCTCGAGGTTTGCTCCCTTCACTGCTTCTACTGCTGCTGCTGCTATGAGCTCCGTGCAACGGGGCAAGATTGAGGGAGAAAGTGATCGAAAACGCAGCCTGCACTTCCTTCCCAGGCCAGAGACTTTGCTCTCATGTTACAAAAAAAATGATGTAAAATGATCCGATAATGCGTTGACTAAACCGGTTATACAGGCCTGGTCACTTTGCACTGAAATATATCGATGTGCAATCAGTTGAGACAACAGTGTGCATTAGGAAGAGTGATGTTTTTACAAAGACAAAAAAAACTGTAAAGGAAGCTTTTTCAAATCATCCAGTTGAGACTGAAATCTACCAAATATGATGTGGGTTTATTTTTTACTACATAAATTTTAATAAAAAGCATGAGATTCGGTTTCTTAATTTGCTTTCTCACCTCTATTTCATATCACACTTACAAAATTCAGTAAGTGAATGCAGATGATGTTTTATGGCTGTTTGCAGATGCACTGTCAATAAGAACAGATTGAGATATGATGACTCTTAGTCGGCACTCCTGTGGGTCAGTCTACCGACTATGCGCGCCTGTGAACACTAGATGGAGCAAGTGGACCAAATATCAACAGCAGTGCATGGACCAAAAACCAAACAAGTCATTTTTAAATTCAACATAAAACCATCAGAACTTAAAGTTACCATTTTCCACATTGCTCTGTTCACATTAAATTAGCACCTATTTCAATCACTTCAACTTGTAAATGGGTTTGATTAAAAATAAAGATCATTGTGATTCAGAAAATATCATATAAACATCACTATTAAATATTCATGTAGTTTTTTTATGCATTGTCTGAGCTGTGCTCATACACATACTGGTGATATTGGAGATTGGGTGATAATGCTAAATGCAGTCGGCCATACACAATAAAGTACTTTCCCTCATAAAAGGTTAATTTACTTTTACTACTTGCTCATCTAAATCACTTGATAGGAATATAAATTGTTAATGGGGCCGGGATCAATACATTGATTTACAAAGGATGTGGTTTAAATAGCATGAGGTACACTGTGGAGATAAATGCATTTGTTTTCCCTTTCACTGCCATCGATGTTCTCCATAGATGGAGTGTAACCTTTAACCCCACACACGCTAAGAAAAGATGGTGGCCAGAGGTTGTTTCAAGGTTCAACTCGGCTTCATAGAATCATTATTGTCTTGGAAAACATCCGGAGCCACAGAGGCAACACTGACTGTGATAAAGAGTGGGAATATACAATATATATCAAGCAACACAAAATAAAATGTTTAATGCAGTATGTCATGATGAAATTTTACTCTCAAAGTCTTAAACATGCACAAGGCAAATACAAATCAATTAAATTCATTTGAAATATTAAATAATAACTATACTTTAACTATTATAACAGCTTACTTAAGTAACAGGGTAGAATGACTTAACATATGTGACTTAAACAGATTTTAGCTTCAGTCGTCCCACCACTGATAAACTGGTGCCATCACTCAAGTACAGTGTGGCTCTTTAGAACGATGGCTGGGTTTATCACCGACACTTAAGAGGACAGAGGGAGCTGATGAGAATCAGGCTGAATTGTACAACAGCAACACTTGAACACCTGAGATGATATCAAAGAAAGGACCAATGTGTACAGGCCTGATTAAGTCCGTCCTGCTACCAGCACTTTCCCAAGCAGCAGCCAAGCTGGAGTAAAGATACAAAATATCATACAATGGCTTAAGTGGAGCTGGTAAGATAAGCAAAGGACTGAGACAAATTTCATAAAAATAGTAAAAATCTTACATATTTTCACAATTTTTATACTAAATTCTTTGAAGCAAATATAGCTCTAGTCCTCTTTTGTCAAGTGGAAAAGGACTGTATATGTAGATTTGACACCTTGCTCATTGGTGATTGAAGGTTTGGCAGCTGCCGAGAACATCATTCATGGACTTTGACCTTGCAGGTATAGAAGATAATACAATAAAAGCATAATCTCCTAACCCACAAAAATTGTCTGTCTCAACAGACATGAGTGACCTCTAGTAGATTTAAATAATGCAAATAAGAAAGAAAACCAAGAAATACACACACATGCTTTGGTTAATTGTATGGCAATGTATCAAGGGGGCATTAATTACTCTTATGCTCCAGAATGCCAGTCTACTGTGACCTCCCAGGGGCACCTTCATAGTACTGGAGTCACACACACGCACACATGCACATGCACACATGCACACACACACACACACACACAGTCTCACACATATGGGGTGAGAATATAATAGGGAATGTCTAAAGCCATTCAGTTCTATAAAGCAATCATGCATAATGCCCAAAACTACAAATATCAATCTGTTTGCATTACCTTAACACTTCATTGCTAAAACGTGTTTAAGAAAGAGGACAGTGAAAAAGTCAAGTGCTGCCGTAGATGTAGCACTTAATCATCCATATAAAATTAACTGTTCATATTTCTATGAAAAACACAAGTCAGTCTTCAATTACACAACAAACAAGGACCGCAAGACTTCCGACAGACCCAGTGTCCCAGCACCCTGCTGCTCATTCTACCTCCGGTCACTAGAGAGCAGACCTTCAGAGGAAAAGAGAGACCAGCCTCTGTGCTGCCAAGGTTGAGCACTGTGATGACCTTTGTACTATTAAACACTGCCAAACAATTAAAGCTATCTCTTCTTACTAATAACCTGAGGCTGTCGAGGCAACACCCAGAGTTTAATGAATATTTTATATTCAGCGGGAAAGGAGTTTGCCTCCAAGGGCAAACACTGAATAAGTGGGGAGGTCAACCTGCTCATGGTGCTTAATAGAGGGCAAAGGATCCAGCCACTGATTATATTGAGATATTTATAAATATTTTTCTATACCTTAGCTCATGTACTGCAATAAAAAAAAAAAATTTTGGTGCATAGTGAGGAGATGAAGTGACATATCATCAGAGGAGAGGGGAATGATCATGATAAGCTGAAACCATTCAGCCTTTTGGCAGCATTCTGCTGGCTGTCTGCTCATTGTGTGTGCTGGTACAGTAAATCCACCACAACAGTCAATTGCAGCATGCTGGGCCACCAGTGCTATAGTGATACCATGCGTTACCATGGAGACTGCACATACGTAAG